GTGCGTGTGTGTGTGTGTGTGTGTGTGTGTGTGATGTGGCCTGTCTCGGCACATCATCTGTTAGTTATGCAAGTGTTCCAGCCGCTGCAGCCCGCAGTCTGATAGTTGTGAGTACGCGAGAGATCCCGCATGTGAGCCAAACTCCTGCTGGTGCATTCTGGGATGCTCCAGTCTGGCTCTCTGCAGTTGCACATATACTGTTCATTTACACTATAAATATCACTCAGCGTCTGAGACGGATGATGTAAACGGGACGCGCTGCTGTAATATCATGTGATTATGGAATCGGCTCTCATATTCTGAACTAGTTTCATTATTTTACAGCAGAAATGCTTGCTGCTCAAACACACACACACACACACACACACACGTTTATCTAAATGCATTTATGTACTACTTAATAATAAAGAAAACATGCTAACTAAAGTACGCCGGGGGAGAAATTACATCTTTAGAGAACAGCATTTTATGAAATATATGCATTATAAATCATGCATTTATAATTAATTTGATTTTTACTGGTATTATTTTAATATCATTGACATACTATTATAGTTTTTGTTAATATTTTGAATTAGATTTTTATTCGAATATTTTGTTTTCACTTTAATTTGATTAACATTGTTGTGTGTTTTTGCCGTTTTTATTAGTTTTTGATTTTTTTAATGTCTAAATAGTTTTTATACATTTTTATTTAGTGTAGTATATATAGTTTTTGGTTATTTTAGTACTTCAGGTTAAATGAAAATAGTTAATTTTAGCTAATTGCCAAGCAAAATTTATTATTTTCAGTTTTTTCTAGATTTTATTTCAGGTAATGTTTATTTTAATTTAAGTAGCAAAAATAAAAGTTTTTTTTTTTTTTAAGTTATACTTTTAGTTTTTGTAGTTTACCTATAATCACAGATTTTTTCTTGACCTGTTGTCTTCATTGTTTAATGTATGCTTGAATAAATCTGCCATTAAAACAGGTTTTTATTTTAGCCACAGTTTAAATGTTCATAACTCTGTTTTAATTAGAGTGTCGATTATTAAATAAACGTAATTAATTGATTATTAAAAATATTTGTTTTAGGTTTGGTTAAAAATGTTGTTGCATCACTAATTTTTACACATTTTTCAAGAAATTGTGGTTGTTGTGAGGTCGTTACTAGGCTGTTCTAGTTGGTTGCTAGGTGGTTTCTTCCTGTCTGGCCTGACAAAAAGCCTCTGTGCGTCTGATCACTGAATCTGGCATTGTGTCTAAATGGAGTGTGATTTCAGGGTCTGAGCGTTGGATGGCCGGGCGATAGGGTCAGAGACGGTCTGGCAGGATGAATTCTTTCCCGTCCATGGACAGACACATCCAGCAAACCAACGACCGGCTCCACTGCATCAAACAGGTGAGAGAAAACACATGATCCCCACAGAACCCAGACCTTAAACACACCTTTAGGGTCTCCATTCGTCTCACTGGCCAGTTGTCACTCTCTTCTGAGAGTGTTTTAATAGATTCATGAGCTGTGACGCCCCCTACAGGACACCTGGAGAGCAGACGGGCTGTGGTTGAACACAGTTATTAGACTGCCAGGAACAATAGACAATACTTTCCTGTAGACTAGTGATGAATATTTTTGGATTTCAAGGGCCTTTCACACATTCACACCTCAAAACATATTTTTTCCAAGCATAATGTTTGAGTGTGATTTTCTTTTCTCAGCACCTGCAAAATCCAGCAAATTTCCAGACGGCGGCGTCGGAGCTGTTGGACTGGTGTGGAGATCCACGAGCGTTTCAGCGGCCCTTTGAGCAAAGCCTGATGGGATGCCTAACGGTGAGGTCAAATCAATCAGTTTCAGCTACTTAAAGGGATAGTTCACCCAAAAAT